TCTCACCTGTCTCTCACCTGTCTCACCTGTCTCACCTGTCCGTGTCTCACCTGCAGGCTGATCAGCGAGCGCACGGTTGAGGAGAACATCCTCAAGAAGGCGAACCAGAAGCGGCTGCTGGGGGACATGGCCATCGAGGGCGGCAACTTCACCACGGCCTACTTCAAACAGGTGAGCGCCGCAGGTGAGGGAGGGGTCCCGGGTGGGGTCTGGGGTCACAGGTGGGGTTTGGAGGGGTCACAGGTGGGGTCTGGGGTCCCAGGTGGGGTCTGGGGGGGGTCCCAGGTGGGGTTTGGGGTCACAGGTGAGGTTTGGTGGTCCCAGGTGTGGTTACAGGTGAGGTTTGGAGGGTCCTAGGTGGGGTTTGGGAGGTCCCAGGTGGGGTCTGGGGTCCCAGGTGGGATGGTCTCGGTGTCCCCAAATGTCCCCAACGACACCAACTGTTCTCAGTGTCCCCAGTGGTCTCAATGTCCCCAAATGTCCCCGACGGCCTCAATGGCTCCAATGTCCCCAATGGCCCCAAGTGTCCCCAAATGTCCCTAATGGCCCTAAAGGTTTGAGTGTCACCAAATGACCCCAATGGCCCCGATGTCCCCAAAATGGCCTCAATGTCCCCAAATGTCCCCAATGGCCCTAAAGGTCTGAGTGTCCCCAAATGTCCCCAATGTCCCCAAAATGGCCTCAATGTCCCCAAATGGCTCCAATGGCCCCAATGTCCCCAAATGTCCCCAATGGCCCTAAAGGTCTGAGTGTCCCCAATGGCCCCAATGTCCCCAAATGTCCCCAGTGGCCTCAAATGGCCCAAATGTCACCAAACGGCCCCGATGGCCCCAATGACTTCGATGGTCTCGGTGTCCCCAAATGTCCCCAGATGGCCTCAAGTGGTCTTGGTGTCCCAAATGTTCTCAGCGTCCCCAATGGCCCCAATGGCCCTAAATGTCCCCAAAATGTCCCCGGAATGGCCCCAATGGCCCTGATGGCCCCACTGATTTCGATGGTCTCGGTGTCCCCAACGACCCCAAATGTTCTCAGTGTCCCCAATGGTCTCAATGTCCCCAAATGTCCCCCATGGCCCCAAGTGTCCCCAAATCTCCCCAATGACCACAAATCTTCTCAGTGTCCTCCATGGCCCCAAATGTCCCCAATGGCCCGAAAGTATGGCCCTGAGGGCCCCAAATGTCCCCGATGTCCCCGAATGGCCCCAATGGCGTCGGTGTCCTCAAATGTCCCCAATGTCCCCAAATGTCCCCGATGGCCCCGATGGCGTCAGTGTCCCCAAATGTCCCCCAATGCCCCCAATGTCCCCAAATGTCCCCGAATGTCCCCGATGGCGTCAGTGTCCCCAAATGTCCCCAATGTCCCCAAATGTCCCCAAATGTCCCCAAAGGCCCCCAATGTCCCCAAATGTCCCCAAATGTCCCTGATGGTTTCGGTGTCCCCAAATGTCCCCAAATGTCCCTGATGGCTTCGGTGTCCCCAAATGTCCCCAAATGTCCCCAATGTCCCTGAACGACCCTGAGGGTCCCAATGTCCCCAAATGGCCCCGAATGGCCCCGATGGCGTCGGTGTCCCCAAATGTCCCCGAACGGTCCTGATGTCCCCAAATGTCCCCAAATGGCCCCGAATGGCCCTGATGGCCCCAATGTCCCCAAATGGCCCCGATGGCGTCGGTGTCCCCAAATGTCCCCGATGTCCCCAAATGGCCCCAATGGCGTCGGTGTCCTCAAATGTCCCCGATGTCCCCAAATGTCCCTGAATGGCCCCAAATGGCCCCGAATGGCCCTGAGGGCCCCAAATGTCCCCAAATGTCCCAGAATGGCCCTGATGGCTTCGGTGTCCCCAAATGTCCCCAATGTCCCCAAATGTCCCCAAATGTCCTTGAACGGCCCCGATGTCCCCAATGTCCCCAAATGTCCTTGAACGGCCCCGATGGCCCCAATGGTCCCAAATGTCCCCGAATGGCCGCGATGGCTTCGGTGTCCCCAAATGTCCCTGATGGCCTCGATGGCCCTAAATGTCCCTGTTGTCCCCAAAATGGCCTCAATGTCCCCAAATGTCCCCAATGTCCCCCAATGTCCCCAACGACCCCAAATGTTCTCAGTGTCCCCAATGATCTCAATGTCCCTAAATGTCCCCCAGGGCCTTGATGGCCCCACGTGTCCCCAAATGGCCCCAGTGTCCCAAATGGCCCCGATGG